ACATTATACGCCGTCTGCTCGCTGCTCGTCGTCGAGATCAAGGGAACATGTAAGAAAAATCCTCGCTTCGTGTCACAGAGGGATTAAACACGTTCACTATCTTCAGTCGCCAGTACCGTACATAAACTCGAAAGGGGATACATGCACGTTTAACAATTGTGCATCTCATAGCGTAAACAATAAAATGTTTGAAGTATCGGAAGTGATTAATTGTTGAATTGGTTTTGCCAGTGAATAAAACACACACCATGCCCAACAAATCGTAACATATAGAGATTTGTGCGTCAAAAGAGCTCATCCTCATTAATATAGAAATACTACTTTCACAGGAACATTCATGATAGGAAAGCAAATGTATTAAGTTTCATAAGTTTATAAACAACAAACTGAAAATGCTGCTATATTGATTTGAACATAAGATCTAATATTTTTTTAGTTAATTGTGTTTGGAGCCAACAAACAACAGGAATAACATTTCCATGTTTTTATTTTCCGAACAATATTATTTTTTAGTTTTATATTGAGTATTCATATCAAATATTGTAAATGTGTTTTGAAAAAGGTTAATACCCTAATTATACAATTTTTCACTAACCTATTTTTTTAACTCCACCCTTTATTGAATTTTTGAAAACCTTCCTTCTATGTAAAATCTATAATCTTTCTCAAGTCCTACTGGTTTTCCCGTACTAAAATGGTGAAAATCAAATACAAGATCTTTTATAATAATCTAATTCAAAAATATCTTAGACGAATTGATCATGAGTGCTACAGTAACGCAAAATAGTTTACCATATTCTTGAGGTTTTACAAACTTTTTACAAACACATTTTTATTTAAAATGTATTTTTTCCATTGTGCATCGTTTACCTTAATCGCAAATAGGCCTATTTAAATACATTTTCTTATATATATAAATTTCTGAAAACATAAAAATACCTATATGGAACTTTACAGTCAATTGGTGAACATGTTTGCATGTCTATAATGTGGAATTAGCAAAGTAGTCAAGAGTACACTTTTGGTGGTGAGTTTTTTCACGAATGTCCGAGTTTCCCTCCAAATATCACTTCCCCCAGTGGCTATTTGATATCACGGTTAGCCAGTCAATATCAGCTTCAGCCCCTACAATGTGACGCTGAACACACACCGTACTTCCACCCTTTATTGCTTTTTTGACATCTCCCCAACGCGTCAGAGCTAAGTAATAACAATCACATGTTGTAAACAGAGCAATTCCGGTTAATGATATTTAATTTACTGTATGTACACCTTCAGTTGGGAAACAAACCTGAATCTTAAAAGTATTTTTTTGCGTTTTGCATACAATAGTTTAGGACTGTAATATATTTTCTAGAAGTGGTGGAGCTATAGTTATAGAATTAAATTTTAAAGGCACATTTTTAACATTTTAGTGCACTTTTTCGGAAAACTTTAAGTACTAATTGAACATGATGTTTATTGTATTGTACGCATATCAAACTAGCAATCAATATTTTCGCGAATTTAGGCCTCGTTGAACCATTATCAAACTGTTTTATTGTTTTATTTCAAACTTACCATTACTTCGACATGCAGGAGGTGATATTTTCATAAAGACATTTACATGTCTGGGAGCATACTTACTTTTACAATGAATATCTTATGTTTACAAATCACTCCAGTTCCATCCGACTGGATGTAAGTTATCGTAATGTATTGATATATTGACTTAGAATAACTGTCAAGTAAAATAAATGTATCTTGGATGGTAACGACGACCTCCAAGAATCTTAAATTTTAGTAAAGTCAAAACAAGTTTCAAACTACATGGTTTGATAATGTTTATTGAAGCCAAAACTTGAGCTACCACAACGAACTAGTGCTAATGGTACTAGCATACTATACAATGTAGTAACTTATAAAATAAAAAATAAAATACGAGGCACATTAAAAACATTTACAAACAAATATTGTTTTCGTTTTAACAAATAACTGGTAGGCCTACCTATCGAATTGATATTCCACGACTGTGTGATACTTCTATCACTTATGATAAAAGAATTACTTTTTTACATCAATTAAATATAATACTTTTTATATTTTTAATACTTTTCATTGAATGGCAACTATACAAAGTAGCTGGTATTTTAAGCCAAGTATGAATGCTAATGAGTGTATGTTGTTGATTAATAATAGCCCATATAGCTAATTGCAACAAAGGGGCCTACAGTTTATAGTAGAATCCGAATCACATTTTTGCCTTGGTATTAACGAATAGGTCTAATTATCAGGATAGTACTGCGGATAGTCGTAGTACACCATTTGTATTCATTGGTAGTACTCGCTAGTGCGGACGTTAATCCACATCAGGGCTGCACTTAGATTTAATACCATAGTCATCCTTCATATGCCTCAAAGCTGAAGTAAAACATTTTGTATAGATTTGGATATTGGTTCACTTACAAATGCAGCAGCTATATACATATAAAGTGCTATATAGTATAAGATAGTAGTAATTGACTTGATCGATAGTAGTAATTACTACTATAGAATATTGAACGGGATATTAGCTCTATCCATGTGTATCGTCCTGGTAGGGGGGGGGGGGGTTATGCAATTCCGCCTCTGGAACACTACCATGTTGCCTTTATGGTCACTATGACCTAGTAACCTGAGAGGCCTAAGGGGTTTTTACGGTAGAAATCCCTTTATAAAGATTACTCGTGGGGGTCTAATAAAAATAGCCAGAGCGCCATAACATTAATCAGAAACATAAGTCGGAATCTCTTCCATTATACCTAACATCTCAAAACGAATGTTGAGGTATGGACAGGAATCTTGCCCTCAGGAATCTTACCCCCCGGACTTCTACCCCATGATAACAAATAGATGATGTTCCACTCGAAATGTATCCTAAGATGTTATCGCTTTGACTTTAGCAGAAAAATTTATAAACGAGTAACCCTTATAAAGTAGTAATATGTTAGCTGTTGAGGGGTTGTAGTTTGAACGTTTTGAGCTGGACTTATATAGGGGAGCCTGAAAGGGGCAAGAATCTTATACACTACTACTATATTATAATCTGTTTGGCTTTATACTAAAACTTTACAGTATAACAGGGTCCATTCAATATTATGGTTGGAACCAGGGAAAAATATAATGCTGGTAACACAGTTCCAGTACATGCAATGTTTTTAAATTTTACCAGGAACAGTTTAACATCCATAGCGAGGTCAACATTAAAATTGCATTATCCTTTAACATCAATCATTTTACCCGTTGACTTTCTCGTAGCCTATTATGATCTTGATTTAATGTGTATTTACAGTTATTACAATTTGAACCAAACTAATACTGTAACTATTCAACGTGGCATATAGTGAAAATTACTAAAATGTATTACAATTAATAATGAAATTGTGGTAAAACAAATTTAGAATATTTTAATAGTTAAAAACAGACAAAATACATTCGCCTATTGGATTGGGTCTGATGATGATTGGAGAGTCCAATCGAAATCGATCACCACTTGCCATATTTTATTGTATTTAACATCTTGTGAGTAAACAGTATAAGTGTAAATATATTATAAAAGTGTCAGGAAAAACTGACAACTGGTCGTAGGCAAAACACGAGAGCTAAGCACTGCAAATCTCTACACAATAACAAAACCTTTTCCATATATCTTACTGAACACAAATATGGATGTAGCCAAAACGTTTCTTCCATTACAGAGTAGTATATTTTTAATTTAGGCTATTTTGTGTCGGTTTGCAATGATCTACAGCACAATAGCGTAACGTGATGTTTTAAGATAAAATGCATTGCGTCTTTACTCTATTACAAATACGTAATAATTCCGTTAGGGGTTAGTTCATTTAATAAAAAAGGACTGAAATAGGGATATCCCTGATGATTGAGATGTGGTATTTTTGATGGACTTACACTTACAACTGTCGTGCCAACTTATATACTGTCTCAAACATGTTCATATCAACAATAAATAAATAAATTCAATTTATTAGGAAATATTAATTTAATTACTGTCATACCTTGTTCCATTAATTGAGTTATCCAGTCTTTTATATGTAATAACAATCTCAATATACTTCGATTGTTTAAATATTATTAAACGTTATAAGTGAAAAACAGTTTTTGAATTAGGGAATGAAAAAACAATAACAGCAGAGTACTTGAAAAAAATGTTATATTTTAAGTTTAATACTGTTAAAAACAACATCAGATAATAGTAACGCAATATATTTTGAACGATTTCAACATACGTGCTTCGAAAAAATGAATAAAACCAAAATATAAAAGTACAATATACACAAAATCGATAATGTACAAAATGTTTAATTAGCTATTAGTACCTGCTACTTACACAGATTATTGCGACATGTACATGGTTTAGTCTAGCTATAATCAAAGCTTACATACATAATCTAATATAAATAAAGTTTGTACAAAAACCTAGCCTAAATTATGTTAATAGCTGAGTCAGCAATTCTCCTGGTAACATAGCGGTTTGCGGGCAGAGCGTCATATTGTAGCAACTACATTATACAGTATATACGCTCAGAACTGATAGGAAATATTACAATATTCATTCTTCTCTTTCTTAAAGTTTATATACCTATTTTCAGTTTTCAAACCTGTAAAAATATACACTGATGCATATATTATAAGATATATTTAATTTCGTAGATTGATTTGTAGCTTTCATACGCTTTTGCTTTTATTCGTCTAGGGTTTTTACATTGTGTTAACGTCAATGTAGTACATATGAATATACGGTGACGCTAAATCATAAATTCATATGGGAATTAATCGCTGATGGTCACTAATAAAGAATTTGTAAAATACATTTCAATGTAAAACATTATAAGTGTAAACAAATGTTTCAAGAGTTATTGGAAATTTAAATTTACTTTTTGTAAAAACATTTCAGAAAAAAAATATGCATCATGTTATAAAATTATATACTCGTAGGCAATACTGGGAAAAGTAGTAGTAGATAAAGTTACTCATTAAAATTAAACTAATTCTTCTAAGTATTAAATATACTTTCAGTTTATGAGTTTTATTTTTTGAACAATATTAAGGTTGTAGAATACCTCTTCACGAAAACTAACTACATTCTGAACAGTTTGATTATTACTGTATTAAGGAACTTTGTTAAGCTGGTTTGTGCTTATATAATCTGTTTATTCCTGGTATTATACATCTTATATACATCCATACCATATAAATACTAGAAGCAGTGAGAGCGGGTAGTAGCTAATGCCCTAAACATAATAAACTGTACATAGCCGAAGAAAGGCAAAATGACTTTAACTAAAGGAATGTTCAGACAGTAAGCTAAGTGACAATGGACTCTCGGCTCCGAAACTTATCAGTCTTGTGTGTCATTTACCTTGCCTTACTTTACTACAAAGGTGATGCGTTGTTAAAATACAAATTATCTCAGATGTGCAGCACTAGAATAAAATATACAAAATATACAGAGACGTAACAACTAAAACTATCTTAATCCGAGTGATCAGTGATTTGTATTAAGCCAAACAAACTGTACCGACCATTTTAAATACTCGCCAATCCTGTACTAATAATAATAATAAATATTTGTAGGCAATTCGATTAAAAGTAACAAGTACTCGAACAAATTATTGTTTCTTTAAAACGAAACTAACGATTTTTACCGCATTATCTGAAGTAGAATCAAATGGTTCAGAAAAAAATTGATTGATTTAATCAATAATGAGTTTGGTTATTTGCAACACACAATTATTGTAGACAGTTGTGTTGCTTGCCGCAAATATTTTAGATAGATTTAATTCAATTAGTATAATTTTGGAAATCATATAAGTTTTCATATAAGTATAAACGCTAAGACTGAGAGCTCGGTCGGAATGGTTGAACGTAACGATACAGTTATTGTCGATATTGGTGTGATGTGATCATTGATCATTGCTTCACGTTATTGTCCTACAGTAACATATATAAAGCACATTCATGCCACGTCAGATCTACAGTCTGTGCCCGCTGTATGCTGTATGTACAGTAAATACACGGCTAGGTGGCCGAGCCACAGTGTCTAAGGGAACTTCCGGTGGTGGTTGTTGTGTCGTATTCGCGGCGTCGTCGTCCTCCACAGTTTGCTGAACGGCGACTTCCTCAGCACCGAGTCTGCTGAGTCGTTGTACGCGCCGCCGCCCCCTCCGCCGCCCCCCGCTAGGATCTTGTTGTGGTTCTCGATGTTGAACTTCTGGTCTAGTTTGATAAAGTTGAGACACTTTGGGTTGTGAGGCGTGGACGTCCCCCGCAGTGGCTTCCCCTTCCTGTTGAAGCCGATGTACCGGGTCTCGTCCACCACCGACCTGAACCTGTTGTATCCCGTCTGGACCATGATCTCGTAGAACTGACACATCGACCCCCGGAACCTCTTCTGCAATCAGACAAGCAGATGCACTGTTAGCACTGGAGCTAAGACATAACAAAAACCGTACAGACATTGTTACAATATGTAAATGTATTCTATATTACAGTATGTCTTCGAGCATGTGCCATATGTTGTATGATGTAATCTAGTTTTACATAATCTACCTGAGTACAACTGCAACAATGTAGTATGTTACTTGTTATGTGCCAGTGAACGTAGGCCTGAATGATGCAGTATTGCAATAAGGAATCTGTTACGTTGGTAATTATCTGTTGACATCCACATCCATTGCGTATTATTATAATTATTACTAGACGTGGGATGAACAACTAGTGGCACCCAGCTAGATCAAGCTTCAGCGAAATTGTATACATGTATCAAAAATTAAATTTTATTAAAATGTAATCGGTGTTGGGGTTCTGTCATTTCAAAACCAAATAAACCTTCAAATTAGTGTAAAATATTATACCTAGGCCTATTTAATTTATTTGAATCAGCTGTCTGAAGTTGTGAAGTAAGCCTTTGACAGTTCTACTTGTTTACATTGAAAAGTCGATGCCAACGTAAACAATATGTGTATTCTCATCCTGCCATGGACCAATCAATATTTACTTTTGACAACTTCGCCTCAAAACTTTAGACATCCGCGCGGCGTAGCCCGAGGAGAACTCAAGGATGTGAATATGCCTCTAACGTTCCTAGATAGACCATCTTTGTGGTTAATTTTGCCAATATTAGTTTAGTATTTTAGTCGTCACAGCCGCCCAGACAGACAGACACCACCTCAATTTTATAATAGTATAGGTGGATGTAAAAGAATTGAAGTTTTAGGATTTATATGATATAAGATATTATATAATATGTATATTATATGTATAATATGTATATTATATTTATAGGATTTTGAATGTTTTAGGATTTATAAAAGCCTTTCCTCGAAGATAAACTTAAACTAGACACAGAGACTTTTGAATTTGAACAATTCCATATGCTAATTATTGTAAAAGCTGATTATCCATTACCAAAAAATCAAGAAACTCTAATAGTGAGACATACATGGCGTAAGTACACCGTAACAGTACGAATAATGCCAATGTTTGACAATGTATTCCATAACCTTATACTTGAAAATATGTGATAACGTTGTTTACATCCACGAATTTTGCGACTGTATACGTCATTGTTTGACTGTTACTTTTAAAATCAAAATACTATCTATATAATTTTAAGATTATTTAAAAACATTATCTACTAAAAACTGTAATACTGTTAGTAATGTAATTATGAGTGTATACCTACCGAGCCCACGAGCTTCCACTTGTGGTTGAAGCAGAGAAACCGTTTAGATTCCTCCGCGAAGATGGTCAACTTGACGCTGAAGTCTAGAGACCGTATTGTCAAGTTTCCTGGAAACAAACCTTAATATTAGAGTACATATATGTGTTAATGCTTATTTGATTGAGAAAGTAAAACAATTTAAATTTGAATCTTTGTCATATCTAGGGATAGTGTTATGTAGTGACAAAATTATGATTCGTTCCCCCCAACAATTTCACTTCATACAGTTTGTATTGGTCGTTCGTTATGTACAGATTTGATACAAAATAATTTGAAGTGAACAAGATAAGGAAGATCTAGATTGGTTTCATAAAATCTGTTAATGGTAAAAAACAACTGAAGGAATTGATGTGGAAAGGTTATTACAGGAAGTAAAGTATTTGAAACGTTGAAAATCATTATCAATCGGATCGCAATGTAAAATTATATCATATACTTTCTAAATATGGAATCTTGTTATATGGAGGTATTGTGACAACGTCCGTAAAGAAGGGTGGAGATATAAGAAGAGTTACAAATATGACTAATATACACATGTGCATGTCAGCAGATTGTAAAAGTTGCAAGAGTGAATCGTGGTACTGTAGTCACTCTTGCTTAAACAATACATCTACTAACACAACACAGAAGAATAAATGTGTGTAAACGTCTGAAGACAATTTTGATGGGTTTCTATCACAGACCGAAACCACTGTAAACGTGTTTATTCAATTAACTATTACAGCCTCAGAATCGTTTTATTAATTTAAAACTGTGACAGCGACTGTTGTACGCGGTGTGACTAGTGCTAGGGGAGTATAAACAGTTCTAGATTAGCTGGAACGAGTTAGTATTCATGCTGAGTTTCCAGTAGAAGATGAGAACGCGCAATTTGTGTCAGACAGACTGTCAGAAGGAAGGCGGTGTTAAACCAACACTACAGAGCGCGGCGTGAAATGCTCACGAGACTGTGGATGAAATAATTTGTACTTTGTAGAGCTAGTTATTAGTTTTGGACTGAAATTAAACTAAGTCGCTTGTCTATTGGATGCATAGCATAGTATATAAAGTTTTTAATAACCGGAATGGAGTTTATCCAATTTCGTTTCCTTTGCCAACAATATTCTCCTTTGAAGTAGAGAGTTTATTTAAATGCTTATTTAGTTTACCACAATAAAAGAATTAGGTTTTAAATTATACTACTTGTGCATAAGGATGTGTTTAGATAAGTGATGGAAAATCAATTCAGCACCTGATGGTGTTCAGAAGCACAAGGTTATTGTCATACGGAAGTAATTTCGATGACGTAAGGATCTTTTGATCAATGAAACATTTTTTGGGATAAATAAGCTACTTTCAATTTGATAAGTTAACAATATTGTTTATCACTAAACATACTCCCAGAAATGTGTATGATTTTAATAGGTTCCTTGGTTTGAAACGAAGTCTTAACTACAACCTTGACACTAAGAAAGCTCAAGGTCTTGGATTCAAAGATCATTGAAAGACACAAATATCAAGGTGATGAGTTAGCTAGAAAAATCTAATTCTCTTGCTTGTAAACATAACTTCTTTTAGATTACGCATGCAAATACATCCCCAACAATCGTCAAGCTAAATTAACTACGTTCCAAACACAGTCGGTTCTACAAAAAACTGAAGAGTCCAAATATCAATGTTGTTTACCAAATAATCTTTTAAAGCCTCACAAACCTTGAGGTTTTTTACGAATCACCGTTGGTTGGCAAATACAGACGGACACAGACAGGAATGTGAGAGGAACTAATGGGAGAGGCAAGAATCAATAAGGTGGGATTCCTCGAACACCGACTCTCCGTCTAGTGCCTAGTTCTCCACGTGCACAGCCGACTATGGTACCTATTTCACAGTTATTATAGGTACGTGGATGTAACTTGAGCTGTTATAGCTATTTAAAAAATATTAAATATATACCTCGCTGCCTCACTCAAATTTTAGCTTTTCCTATTTTCCTAGTCAACTGTAGAAATAATTTAAACGCAAGGGGGGAGAAGCCCTTAAAAAAAATACATTTTTCATTATCATTCGCAGGGGCACTTGTACGTAAGCTTTAAAATTAGACCTCAATCGTGAAAATCGGTTTAGTAGGACAGCTTGAAAAGGGATTTTACAGAGAACCCCATCATGGTATAAAATATATAGATATCTTCAGCAAGATGCAGTTGGTCATGGAATACATTCAGCCATACAGCCCTGGGCAATTTTGCGTGTAAATCGATAGTAGCTAAGTTCGACATTCTTCGAGTGGAAGACTTAGCTTTTCTGAATTATTTCTGGATGAAATAACGTTCATTGTGTTAGAAACTTGGCAATTGAAAGTTCATTAAACGTATGCAGCGTGTTTTCTATTCATATTTACCACTTTAGTTAACTAATGAATTTTAAAAACATTTTGCGTGTTTTGTGTTAAGAGAAAGCACAGGCAGCCATGTTAATAGATTGTACAGTTAACAAGATTAATCAATCCCGTCGCCTTGAATATATGATTGTGAAGATTTCTTTAACATTTTGACAATGACAAGTACAACGGCGTTGCTGAGGAGAGCTCAGCCCGGGTACTGGACGGCCGCTGGTAGTTTTCAAATATTGGAAGAGCGAGGTGTAGCCGGACCGGCCGACCTGTTTGTAGACGCTGTAAAAAATAACCCCTTTAAAAGCAATCATCGATGTTTGTTTGTCCGTGTGTCAATAGATAAAGGAATGTTCAGAGCCGAGATACCGAGGTGGTCTCTCCACTCTTTCATTCATCAGCCCACTTCTCCCTCGCGCAGCTTTCTACTACACTAATTTGGTGATCAACCTCTAGAGCCTTTTAGAGAAATGTGTTGTATTGCCCAAGAGAGAATGTATACACTCATTTGACATGTGTTGAAAGGAACATTTAGATGAATCATGTGTGTTAAATTAGGTTGTAGGTTGTACTCTTGAAAATGAAGAGAGTCTGTTACCACGTGTTTTCAATCTTTGAGAAAGTCGTCATGGGCTTACACATATTGTGCTGCATCGACTTATTACCTTAGGTTTATTAGTAACAAATCACAGTTTTTAATTTATTCTCCCAACTTAACTTAAACATTTTCAAAAACACTTTGGCGTGTTGTATTGCAGTCTCCAACAGTCTCTTGTCAAAATGTGTTTGTCATATAAATAACCTATTTAAACAAGTGTAGTAAGAGCCTGATGATTTTATGATTACGTTATATTTGTCCACAATTATTTTCTGCCATACCACATATAAATTTACAAACATATAAATGTTATGAACAATTTCAACAATAAAATTAATCTTTTACTTTACACGAATAAGGAACGTATTCTTTTACTGCTGACAGAGTCTGAAATTACCATTGAACTATCTTGATCACATAATAATCATTTTCCATTCAATCAGTGAGTAGTGCAGTTTGAAAGTCGCCTCACCGATTAACTGGATGGTGTTCGGAACCGGAACCAATACTAATTAATATTTGAGTCGCGCGCTGGGCGCTGCCGCCTCTCAAACCGTCCAAATCGGGTGCGATTCTACCCAATCAGAGACTTGTTTGATCTATAACTACAAAACAGTGGCGGCATCGGACATTCTCATTAATTATGTCGGGCTCATTACTGCTAAGTACTCCGAACGGTGTTTATTCAGACAGTTAATGAGATACGGTCCGAGAGCCGAGAGGGGCCACCATTAACGGCTCTGATCGGACGAAAGCGAGATTGAAATATAGGATTCGTCGCTATTACCTAAAAGCTCCGTGAGGGATATAATCATTGAGCGTCCGGCTGCCATTTTACGTGTGATGTCCGAGTAAAAACGTATCATTATCGTCGGCGCAGGAAAGGTCCCGAGAAATTAAAACTAAATAACAGACGTTCTACAAAGTTTAAACTGGCAATTAAAATAGCCGAGTAGATTGACCACCGAGTGACTTATTAGTACGGTAAGTAGAGTATAATAGAAGGGTTTAGCCGATTAGCAGCGGCAAAGTGGCCTTCCGCACCTCCTTGACGTTTCACACGCTCTCTTGTAGAGCCTGCAGCTAGTGTACTATACACCATCATACTGGCCAAGTGAGATTAGCAGTGGCAAAGTGGCCTTCCTCACCTCCTTGACGTTTAACACGCTCTCTTGTAGAGCCTGCAGCTAGTGTACTATACACCATCATACTGGCCAAGTGAGATTAGCAGCGGCAAAGTGGCCTTCCGCACCTCCTTGACGTTTCACACGCTCTCTTGTAGAGCCTGCAGCTAGTGTACTATACACCATCATACTGGCCAAGTGAGATTAGCAGTGGCAAAGTGGCCTTCCGCACCTCCTTGACGTTTCACACGCTCTCTTGTAGAGCCTGCAGCTAGTGTACTATACACCATCATACTGGCCAAGTGAGATTAGCAGTGGCAAAGTGGCCTTCCTCACCTCCTTGACGTTTCACACGCTCTCTTGTAGAGCCTGCAGCTAGTGTACTATACACCATCATACTGGCCAAGTGAGATTAGCAGCGGCAAAGTGGCCTTCCGCACCTCCTTGACGTTTCACACGCTCTCTTGTAGAGCCTGCAGCTAGTGTACTATACACCATCATACTGGCCAAGTGAGATTAGCAGCAGCAGAGTGGCCTTCCGCACCTTCTTGACGTTTCACACGCTCTCTTGTAGAGCCTGCAGCTAGTGTACTATACACCATCATACTGGCCAAGTGAGATTAGCAGCGGCAAAGTGGCCTTCCGCACCTCCTTCACGTTTCACACGCTCTCTTGTAGAGCCTGCAGCTAGTGTACTATACACCATCATACTGGCCAAGTAATATTAGCAGCAGCAGAGTGGCCTTCCGCACCTCCTTCACGTTTCACACGCTCTCATGTAGAGCCTGCAGCTAGTGTACTATACACCATCATACTGGCCAAGTAATATTAGCAGCAGCAGAGTGGCCTTCCGCACCTCCTTGACGTTTCACACGCTCTCATGTAGAGCCTGCAGCTAGTGTACTATACACCATCATACTGGCCAAGTAATATTAGCAGCAGCAGAGTGGCCTTCCGCACCTCCTTCACGTTTCACACGCTCTCATGTAGAGCCTGCAGCTAGTGTACTATACACCATCATACTGGCCAAGTAATATTAGCAGCAGCAGAGTGGCCTTCCGCACCTCCTTGACGTTTCACACGCTCTCATGTAGAGCCTGCAGCTAGTGTACTATACACCATCATACTGGCCAAGTAATATTAGCAGCAGCAGAGTGGCCTTCCGCACCTCCTTCACGTTTCACACGCTCTCTTGTAGAGCCTGCAGCTAGTGTACTATACACCATCATACTGGCCAAGTGAGATTAGCAGCGGCATACTACCCGGTTTGAATGTTAATCCAAGCGATATCTCATGTCAATTGATTTGAATTTACATTGTTATAAAATTGTTGTGTGTAATAAGATTTAATAGAACTGAATAACATTTTAACTGGACTAAGTTTACATTACACGTAGCCCAGCCGAAAAAAAATGTATGGCCGATGTTGGAACAAACTACTCACAGGCAAGACTATCTACCAATCGTTTGTACATAACTAGATATACATTTCCCCTAGAGTCCCTAAAGGCCCCATTTCTTTTCTCCACAATTTGCTCAATTTAAAAATTATTCTTTAATCGTGAAGAAAGTATTAAATAAATTATCACAATTAAAATAACTTTAAAATTGCTTTAAAACTTTAAAATTACTAACTTTGGGGGGGGGTTGGGGGGGGGTTGGGGGGGGGTTGGGGTTGGGTTGGAATTACCTTGGGCGTTTAGGGACTTTTGGGAAGATGTGTGTTATATCTAGTTAGGTACTAACGATTGGTAGGCTATATAGTTTTTACCGAAACAAAACCTTTATTGACTAGGCCAACAATAAGTTATGCATTCTGTATTATGAAACAGTCGTTCGAGTTTTCTACACGTCTTTCCCTAGTTTCGTATACGTACAAATTTGTAACGGGGTATGTAAACTATTACCGCTTCGTTCTGCCTTTATAATTACAAGTCTCACTTATCGCTATTATGGTAATGTATGTTTTGAAACGGACATGGGCGTCTATTGTTTCTATTGGCAATGTCAAAATGTAAATACTATTCTCTTAACCTTGACGTGTCTTGGAGTGGTTTATTTCTTCAGTAACTTTCACAGTATTACAACACCTTGCATGTACAAAATCTCAAATCAACAGCTTCTTCCCTTTTTTGCCATACGCTTATTATAAACGAGCAAGCTATAAATAAACTGAATAAATATTTCCTTTCAAAAACCTTAAGTTTAGATAATTTGTTATGGCTTTATCAATGTTGTACAATATTTTAGAATGTCTCAATCTGATTAAAAATCGTGTATAAATGGAGAGCTTAAGCCAAACCATTCAACATCTTTGTTACAATACTATTGATTGTTTGATCCACGACGTAACTGCGTGCTGTTTGCTGCGTCACGGACCTTGATGGTGACGAAAGTGTCGAGCACTACGATGGACACTGGCCACTCGCGTCACACTCACAAATCTCACTCATTAGAATGTGAGAGGCTAATGAAGCTGTCCAGGGGATATATGACAGCGATACTGGGGCGAGATTGTGGCCATCCCGAGCCCAATTATGTGTCTTCATGTAGCGGCCGCGCGAATCAGTCTCCTTGATGCCGGAGAGCTAGGCGTGCCTCCAAACGTAAACTGAGGATGCATGTTTTTGGAAAATATATTGAAATTTTATTTCTGGTTTTCTTTGCTACGCAAACCATAAAAGCAATGCTTGATTTAATTTGCATGTTAATATATCCAAACTAATATGGATATGGCAATACAGTAGGAAAACATCTTACTTCTCCTTGTTGTTGTATCATATTCAGTACGTGTATGTTGTCAAACTTCCTTAAGAGACTATATTTGAAACCATGATGGATCCGGATTTTTTTGTTACTCTGCAATTACCAATATAGCAAAATTTATTGACCGTAATGAATATTTTTTTTCATCCAGACAAACTAATTCGAAAACCGCAGTAAAAATGTTATTCAAGCATGAAAATTTATATTTTAAACTATGGCCAGGCTGAAAAGTGAAACTAAAAGTGGTACGACGGTTAGACAAGAGGAAGGGAGAGAGGGAGAGGGAGAGGCGAGTGTTAGCTCTTCACACGGTTGTCTACACATTAGCGAGTCCGAGTCTCCACGTGGACTCTGGCCGTAGGCCTGCACAGAGCACTCGAGTGGCCTCGGCCTCCAGCCTCAAACGTGGTAAACTGGAACGATCGTTTGGTATACAAGCGAGATACATTGCAAAGTTATACGTAAAGGCATCGTAAATGCTCTTTACTTTGTAATATATTTCAGCTAACGCGATAAACTGTATTCACGCCGGAATAGCAAGTTCGATTGACTAGTTTTTGTCACAATTCATTTACTGGTAGTTTTTGTTATCAAAACTAAACAGTGGTATGAAATCTACAAGTAGACAACTTTTACGTCAATATGAATTAAGTTTTTGTTGTTATTAAACTAAGCTGTAGTAGTAGTGAATATATTCAAAGGGTCATCAATTGAATAGCAGAACATAAGAGCGTCTTCAATGATTAGTCTAGGCATATTGGGTTAAATTCAGGACCATCTCACCAGAATGTTAGTAGTAGTAGTAATTGCTTTGACTATTAATACAATAACTAGTCAAAGGTACTAGTATATCGGGTTAAATATTAACCCATAGAGAAGGGTAGTACCAGAAGGTTGAAAAATTCTTTATTTTACCAGGCAAATAAAGAATTTTTCAGGGGTTAGTAGTAGTTAGAAGGTTAGTAGTAGCAGTAATTGCTTTGACTATTGATACAATAACTAGTCAATGGTACTAGTATAATGGGTTAAATATTAATTACAATCAATGCAGTATCGTAGCAAACAGGTGATCGATTTATCACATACCGGGGGTTTCGGTTAGCGCCAGCCTGTGTAGGGTTTCGGTATTAGTGTTAAGGTGTTAAGATTTGAAGAGGGATTTGTCTTGTAAATATTGTTGTAATTGTAGATTATGTCACAGACACAAATAATGGGCCACTTACGGAATCTGTCGGGGATGTCAACATCGTCTGCGAGGACACGACCTTTCATGTCGACTCGAACTTGGCTGCTGCTGCAGTCGTTGTAAAGCCGCACGGATCGGACCATAGAGGGGACAGCGCCACAGATCACTACCTGCAACATCACAGAGAGGAGAGGTAAATCTGTGTCGAATTGGCAATATAAAGGATGACCCAGCGCCACAGATCACTACATGCAACATCACAGAGAGGAGAGGTAAATCTGTGTAAAATTGACAATATAAAGGATGACACGGCGCCACAGATCACTACCTGCAACATCACAGAGAGGAGAGGTAAATCTGTGTCATATTGACAATATGAAGGATGACCTAGCGCCACAGATCACTACCTGCAACATCACAGAGAGGAGAGGTAAATCTGTGTCATATTGACAATATGAAGGATGACCTAGCGCCACAGATCACTACCTGCAACATCACAGAGAGGAGTGGTAAATCTGTGTCATATTGACAATATGAAGGATGACCTAGCGCCACAGATCACTACCTGCAACATCACAGAGAGGAGAGGTAAATCTGTGTCATATTGACAATATGAAGGATGACCTAGCGCCACAGATCACTACCTGCAACATCACAGAGAGGAGAGGTAAATCTGTGTCATATTGACAATATGAAGGATGACCCAGCGCCACAGATCACTACATGCAACATCACAGAGAGGAGAGGTAAATCTGTGTAAAATTGACAATATAAAGGATGACACGGCGCCACAGATCACTACCTGCAACATCACAGAGAGGAGAGGTAAATCTGTGTCATATTGACAATATGAAGGATGACCTAGCGCCACAGATCACTACCTGCAACATCACAGAGAGGAGAGGTAAATCTGTGTCATATTGACAATATGAAGGATGACCTAGCGCCACAGATCACTACCTGCAACATCACAGAGAGGAGTGGTAAATCTGTGTCATATTGACAATATGAAGGATGACCTAGCGCCACAGATCACTACCTGCAACATCACAGAGAGGAGAGGTAAATCTGTGTCATATTGACAATATGAAGGATGACCTAGCGCCACAGATCACTACCTGCAACATCACAGAGAGGAGTGGTAAATCTGTGTCATATTGACAATATGAAGGATGACCTAGCGCCACAGATCACTACCTGCAACATCACAGAGAGGAGAGGTAAATCTGTGTCATATTGACAATATGAAGGATGACCTAGCGCCACAGATCACTACCTGCAACATCACAGAGAGGAGAGGTAAATCTGTGTCATATTGACAATATGAAGGATGACCTAGCGCCACAGATCACTACCTGCAACATCACAGAGAGGAGAGGTAAATCTGTGTCATATTGACAATATGAAGGATGACCTAGCGCCACAGATCACTACCTGCAACATCACAGAGAGGAGAGGTAAATCTGTGTCATATTGACAATATGAAGGATGACCCAGCGCCACAGATCACTCACTACCTGCAACATCACAGAGAGGAGAGGTAAATCTGGGTCAAATTGACAATATGAAGGAAGGCCCAGCGCCACAGATCACTACCTGCAACATCACAGAGAGGAGTGGTAAATAAATGTGTGTCAAATTGACAATATGAAGGAAGGCCCAGCGCCACAGATCACTACCTGCAACATCACAGAGAGGAGTGGTAAATAAATGTGTGTCAAATTGACAATATGAAGGAAGGCCCAGCGCCACAGATCACTACCTGCAACATCACAGAGAGGAGAAGAGTGTCAAATTGACAATATGAAGGATGACCTAGCGCCACAGAAGAACTGTGGATATGGAACTATTTCATTGACAAGGTAAAGGACCTTGAATTTTTTTATATTACTGTTTTTACTGTATTTCTTGAAGGTGTGATCAAAGTTGGATTCTTCTGCACAATATGCAAGTTTCGTGCATATAAGACGCGTAAATATAAATTATACTATACTTATGAAACTGTTTACCAACTTGAACCATTAAGGTTACTTAAGCCGGATTGTTGTAAAATGTAAACAAACAATAAAACTTGTAGACAGCTTCGCAAACAAAATTTCTAAGTGAACACAGAAAAGCCATCGAGAGGTGTGGTTCTAATCAAATAATCCTCGATAATACGCTTGTTTGGAATAACATAACGAGTGACGAGCGGTTAGCAGCTTCGTTATCTAGCTTCGACAAACAGAGTTATCAGCAATTGTGTTTCGCAACTAATCCAGCAGATCGATCTGTCCGTCATAGGCACATGATCCAATCTCTGCAGCATGGGGATTACAGCCTGTAGCAACAACGATAACACGGCTTTGTCTGGCGTACCACTTCAAATTGTCGATGATGACACGTGAAAATGGCGGAAAATAATCGTATTACATTTCCTAATACGAATTAAAAAATTAAACCCTGTTAGAAAGTAAATAAAAGGTTGAATGGGAAGTAGCAGCTTTTGGTGAAATCAAGTAGTTATTTGGAAGCATCTGGTAACGATTTGGACATAGTGTTATGTAATGCAAAATTTGAGAGAGTCTATATTTAAAAATGTTCAAACACTCATCTCAGGTACAGGCGGGAAATAGTATTTATCAGATGAATAGCCAAGCAGCAGGTGTGCTATGTAGGAGTGTGCCGGCTTTGAGGCTTGTAATTGCCAAGAATACCGCCTAATGATAGGTGTAAGTGGCAACAAGTTGCATATGCAAGCGAGACTCCAACGTCCGGGCAGCTGGCTAGGTACATACAGTCTACATATACATAGAGCTACTGGTGGACGATACACACCATTCAAGCAGTTCAACCTCCCCACGGTAGTGTAAAATTGTATGAGTTAAAGGTCCTACGCAGCAAACAAATTGTGCCTTAATTTTTACATATTCAGTTGGTGCCTATAGTAGGAATAAAACTTATGTGTCTATAAGTATATAAGTCTTATAAGTTAAAACTAGGCTTTTAAAGGATTTCGGCGATGGCGCAAGCTAATAGCTCATCGCAAATTTTAGTCAGAGCGATCAAATATTTAAATGACCGGTGTGATACCAATATATGTTGTGGGGGGGGGAGGGGCGGGGACCTCCAACTGGAACCATCGATCAAATGCGGCGTAATTTGGTTTGGCGAAGTCGGCAGGACGATGACTAGCATAAAATTAAAATAAGTTACGTGTATAACAAACCTCCAAATGAAGGCTAAGTAGGCCATGTGACACCTATTGATATGCTAACCAGCGCCCGACCTGGCTGATACGATCTTTATCAGTCATTATAGTGTGTAATTATGTGTACACGGATGATGGACCTTCACAACATGTTTATTAAGTGCTCTTGTCTTCCTGGTATCCTTAGGGAGGTGAAACCATCACGTAGATTTGTATCTGCTCCAACCATGCAAGTGGTTTAGTCTTAAAACGCCAATAATGTATTGAAGAAATTAGGATTTTGAAGAAACTACCATTTAATGTTGCATCAAACTATGTTGTCTCAATTTCTCGTGGACTAGTTCGGGGTGTTTTTTTTTTTTTTTTAATTAGCTGTATCTCTAGTGCTGGCCCCCATTATAATGGAACTTAGATAGTTTATGTTCTTTATTAAATACATTCCTACTAAAAACCTTCATTTGCCTCCTCAAGTATCTCACAAAATTAAACTGTTTCATAACATTTGTATCATAGAATTATTTTCGTTGCCAAATCACATGGTTTTAATTTTAACGAAGACTAGACCTCTGTGGTTTTTAAAATAATTAGCATCTTTCTGAAGTATACCAAAATATGTGTATGTACATATCATATTCGCCATTGTAAAATATGCTACACAATCAACTTCAAATATAACAAAATTAGTATAGTTCTATCAAAAACCAATTGATAAAAATACAACCAATTTATTATAAATGTTATTTTTTAACTAACATTTCATACATTTAGTATAAATCAATGATGTTAGAAAATATTTACAAACCAAAATGATAATGCAAATAATTAACTGCAAATCGCAAACATTAGGTTGTCCTTACGTCGAAAAAAATCCAGAGTTAGAACTTTAAAATCTCCACAAAATTGATACGGTACGTAATTACTGCATAAAAATTAATTATTTAATATGTAACTTGGAGTGTAAAAAGTTGTGAACAATTGTATGTACTTACCATCAGGAGGCACAGTAACTTCGCAGAGACGGCTAGCTTTGGTAACCTGAAACATGGACACAAACTTCGTTTAGTTTCATGATACATTTATGTTTTTTTATTACCATACAATACAATAAAAAACAAAACTAATATAAGCATACTACAAACATGTATTGCTAAATTAGGCAGAAATAAATTGTTTTCTAATAAATGTGACCGTCTTTGGCTGTTAACATCTAGATTTTACATGAAAAATTAAAGCGATACTGTTAAGCAACTTTTTCCATTTTCAGTAAGTAATTCTGCTAAACGGTTTTAAAGTAACTACTAAATTATTTAAATGGATAATTTAGGAATCCCGTTTAGGTATTATTCGAATTGGCAAATATGTCAAGTACAGTACGTAGTTATAAGTGGGCAACTTCCCATGGGTTTTTAAACATTCGCCAAGGTACACACATGTTTCTTCTTATTTTGGTTGCAAATGCTATTAACGTTCAAATATGTTAATTGTGACATCAAGAATCACCAAAGGTTGAAACTAAAACATATTATCATGTTCTGCAATCAATCCTATGAAACGAGACGGACGATCATGAAATCTTCTCGCATAGTTTCATCAGCTAGTCATGTACCACCCCCACTTCATTTCGTTTAGTTGGGCAGGAACGATCCTGACGACATTCCATCAGCTGCCAAGAAGCTGCAGCACTTTCCTCAAATGATCCAAAGCCGGGCCACTCTTCGCTACATCAGCTGATCAAACGCTGCACCACGCTTAACTCTTCGAGCACGAATGATTCTTGGGTTTGCAATCATTCAAGGATGCAGTATTTTGCGTCTCATTGCTTTATACGTTACTTCATTGTCTATCAGAAACGATATTGTTCGATAATTCTATTGATAATGTTTATCATAATTTGCATTCTACCCTCTTAGATCCAGGGAAAACGCTCTCAATGACGCAACGTTGTCTGAATTTTTTTGGAGTGGCCTTCACATCCAGAGCAATAGGATACACTTACATGTTTTATCATTTTCAAGTCTGGATGAAAAAGACTAAATACCGTCAAGCTTGAAGTGAGATGTGCGATGTTACTTTTAAATTATTAGATTGACATCGCCATGAAAAATATATGCGATATATGTATAGTTATCGATCCATTCCTTTATTATACGGGTGTGAGCAGAAACTTTATAGAAAACTTAGCCTTTGCATGTATTATGAATAACTTCTGCTGTAGGTCTATGTTCTGAATATGTGGAACGAGGACTGTAGGAAAATTGGGAAAACAAAGTGTATAAAGACGAAGCCAACAGCGGCACCGACAGCGAACGGAACTTGTTTTGTTATTTCACTTTTCGCGCCAAGACGATGGTATAAAGACGTTTTTGTCGCCCGGGCGGCGCGGCATGTTGTAAAACAGTCTCCCACAGTGGCGAATTAACATACATAAACCGAGGACTGGTGGCTGGTGGCTGGTGGCGCGATTTAATGTGCGGCGGCAGTCTGTGAGCATTGATCATCAAGTGGCTACTCTACTTTGTATCTGGACTTGGCGAGATACGGAGACCACTTCTGTCAAGTTACGTCGAGAGTTTCAAAAACTGCAGCTACATGCCTGGTTCGATGAACTAACTTCGCAATAGTTAATACACTTCAGGAGATTTAGTGTTTACTAAGTACCGCTGATTGATCAGTTCAAGACATTTTATGACTGATGTAAATACACTTGATAGTTCTCTTAAAAAATAGAAACGCATGGTATCAGCCGGTACTCCTACTTTTAGACAAAGTCTACTTTGTCTAATACTAGAAATCTTTATGTACTACCAAAATAATTTGTGAGAATTGATTTCATTTATTGAACCATCCTTATTTCTCGTCCTCAGACATGCAGATAATATTATTTTGTCGCTCAAAGTATAAGGATGTGACCATCGATTTATCTCCATGAGTTGGGTACTTGCGGAACACTCTAGGTGTGCTTGTTACTTCGGCTAAACTCATCTGGAGTAATTGTGTTTTTATTTTGGTTGCACGCACGATATACGTAAATAAGATAACATTTTAAAAGGAAAAGTCTAGGACAAAACATTTTAAATTTATGTACACAGCAAGAACGAAACTTTAGTATGACTATGGCCTTTGCTTCTCCCATGGACATAATTGGTACCTTCACCACCAGACCATCTTCAAATCTATGTTACTGCTCCGGAAAGTCTAATACAGTTCATACATAAGTGCTGCAGTAATAACTATTGACTACTTGACTGGCTTTTTCAATTATAAAACGAATTGATGATACGATTGACATCATGATTGCTCCAATCATTTTAAGATTTAATTATTTTTTATTGAAGTAGTTGTTTGGTTTTCCTTACAAACAAAGTATTTATTTATTTTGTTAACTGGTTGAAATACTTATTAAGTTTGGACACCTCCAATCATAGATAATACTTAATTGGTGATAATTAAATTGATTTATCTCTTTTTTTTATAAAGGTGGAGAATAGTCGGAATCGTGAAGAATAACATTTAGAATTCAAAATAGACAGTTTGTAAGTTACAAACTGTCTTTTAACCATGACGTTATGATGAAGAGACTGCCAAATGATAACACATTGATATCTGCACAGTCATACATATACCGCCTATGTATTTAGGGTGGTAATATAAGGGTTGGTAGTAACAATAAGAAAAACCCTGTAATGAAGAAGAAGAACATAAGTGGCCTTAAAAAAGAAGACTTAACTTGCCATTGATTTATAACTTAGCATTAAAAATAAAATAAAGCAATCAATGTACTGTTAATACCACACTTGGCACCACACCACCCACGGTCGGGAGATAAATAAATAAATAAATAAATAAGGTCTTTATTCATGAGCGAATTTCAGTTACAAAACTGTTTTACAAATTGACTCAAGTCAGGACTTAAACTAAATAAAACCTCTTATAACTACGAAACAAAATAAGATTAGTTACAAACTCTTTAGGCGATTCTTAAAACTGTTGTAAGACAGTGCTTTTAGCTTGCAAGGAAGTGCATTGTACTGAGCCGGCCCGAAGTAAGAAAACCCCCTTCTCCCAGCATCAAGAACAACCCTTGGTATGTCAAGCAACAAGTCCTGTCTAGTTCTGCGCTCTCTCACGGCTGACCTCGCTTTCAGTTTTTCCTTCAAGTACTGTGGTGCCTGAGTGACCAGTGTTTTGTGGACGATACATGCAACCTGCTTATCACAGCTCTCTCGGATGGACATTGTATTTGAGATCCTACGGTGACTTGTTATATGGTCATATTTTTTAAGTTTGTATACGAACCTTAGGGAGCAATTCTGTAGCCTGTGAAGTATTGTGATCTGTTCCTGTGTTAAGCTGTCAGCTGAGATCACATGCTGGGTTTTATGTTTAAGCTCAGGAACATTTCATATGGTATTGTATGTAACATTTGGTCATGTAAGTATATAAAAAATATGAATGAGCATTCCTATTAGCCTAAACATTTTTTCTGTATTATGATCACGTCTAATGACCAAACTCTAGAGAACTCTATCAAGATGTGATGCCTGAATGTTTTTCTACAATTTTAAAAATAATATACATTATATAAATCTGTATTATCTAGCCAAATTGTAATAGGAATTGCCGAGGTCCTCATCTAAGCTAAACTAGCTCAAATCTAACATTTAGCGTCGTGCATTTCTCTTCATCCCCTACTATCCTCATACGGTATCTTCCACCTCGCAGATTTTCCATTGCGTCGTTTTAGAAAACTTAACATTGCACAATGGATTTATAAATAATTACTTCGAAATGTCTAATAATAGATAACATTTTCATTTATAACCAGACTTTTTAAATTCTGATGCATAAATTTAACAATTGAATAAAAAAAGAAAAAAACGATGTTTACAACTAATTTAAATTATTATAACATGGGAAATCACAGGACAATGAACTACTTACACTAAATTGTTCATTATTTTCATATAATAAGACTACCCATGCTTAGATTTGACAATGTTTTCTTGGAAAATTTACCCGGAGAATGCAGATATTTTGAAGGTTAACAAACACGTATTCACTGGCGCACTACAAAGAGAATGGCCCTAGATTGGTCGCATATTTCCCTTGTGTAAGATCGCTTCAGCATATTTGACTTGTTTACAAGTGTGACAGTTGGATGAGTGCGTTACTACAAGCTGTTTGGGCGGTGATCTCATGTATTCCATGAGTCATGATACAATACACAAATCAATCTAAACCAAACACATGCCACATTCCAACATGACAACTGATCTCTGTTACATCCCGTACTAATAAAATGATAGTAGTTTGATATGAGAAAAAATCCCTTACTGCACTATATTAACGAACACCTCAAATGTAATACTTTTATGCTACTAGGTTTAATTTCCAACAATAACCAATAATAAGTTTATCATGCCTTTTATAAGATACTTAAAATCTTCACGTAATAACTCATAACTCATTTATTGAACCAAAATAACAAATACCAAATTTGCATTGGTCATGTCAATTAATATCTTAGAACTAAAATTAAAAATAAACAATACACAATGGTGCTTCAATAAAACTATACCAATTATACTTCTTTCAAAACAATTACTAACTAAACCCATCAGCGTCACAATCTCGAACACTGTAGTAACCCTTGGCCAAGAATATTTTTTTTAATTTGGTTTTTAAAGCTGTTCAAGTTCGACTCCAGCTGAAGGGAGGGAGGGAGGAGGGTAATGTTTTATTATTTGAGAGGTTTGTTGTAATAATAATGATAGTGGTTATTGTCTCAGACTTTGGTGCGATAGAGACGGATTCGTTTACCGGTATATCCATAAAGATTTGAGGTGGACGGACCGCTTTGCCTTAGTAGCTTATAATTTTCTCAATTATAAAACACAAATTGCATAAGAAAATCAATCATAATTTTATTTTGGTTTAAGACCCTTATTTCTGTAATTTTGTTGTTGTATAAACACTTGAAATAATTTCATTTGGTCATGAAGCTGTGTACTGCTGGGGAAATTATATGAAATTAG